AAGTGCGTGGCACACAATGCTAGATCCTCCATCTCATCCACCTCATTCTTGGCTCTCTTAAGGTCCACCTTAGGAAAAGTGGATCTGATGAAGTGCTTGGCAACAATCATGCCTACATTCTCAAAAAAGCTAGATTTATGCCTCGGAATAAGGGACTCCTTCCCTTTCATATACGTCAACACCCTCATTTCTCATAGAGATGGATCAATTTGAACCAGTGGAGGTCGAGGTACAAACTCAACAAGAGCCACAAGCTGAAGCCATTGCACTTCTTCAACCCTTCTCTTCTTTTGAGCTGCAGCCTCATTTATAGCCCTTTTCATCCTCTACTCCGAGCTGAGCCCCATTTCATCTCGGATCCCCCACTTGGGTGAGGTCTTGAAGTCCCACCCACTCTTCTTTCCTCCACAGTAGTCGGAGCGGGGGTTTTTTACCTATTTTCTAAGAGGTTGATCGTCTTGTTTTTGGATAGCATTTCCCCTGCAAAATACAATATATGTTAAACCTTTTTTTTTTCAAGTTCGTAGTTTAAGTAAGTGTAAATTCGAGTTAACAGACCTCCACTCAATGAGCTTGGTCCATAGACCTCAGTCGCCTCTAACATCTCCGGGCTGGTGAGATGCAAGATGTTCACAACCTCTCCACCCCTTCTCTTCAACCTCTCCACTTCTTTCTACTCCCCTACACTCAAGGCATTTTTATTTGGGTTGGCCTTTTTGCCCTTCCACTTGTAGAGCTCTATCACCTCTATACCAGACCTCCCTCACTCTGTATCATCCACAAATAGAAACTTCTCTTTCCACCCCTTGATGGAAGACAAACCCTCGTTGAACAAGTTCCTACTTTCACCCTTAGCCACTCGAGGTGCGAAGTAAAACCACCCATTCTCCTTATTAAAAAGAGATATTTTAATAAATTGACTGTGGGGACTAGCACACCTTGTGTTCGGCAATGCACCAAAAACCTACAATCAGTCGAATTGCATTGGGGACAAGCTATGTTATCCCCACCCATGCTCTTTTAACAATGCCACTAACAGCTCAGAAACTGGGAGCCTAAACCTGGCAGACAAATAATGCCTATATATGGGCATCCAATAATCGTTAGGTGCTGAGCACACCTTCTCCATCTCACCAATCGGCCTCAGCAAGACGTACCCAAGGCTCGCATACTGCTCCACTAGATGCGCAAGGTCGCTATTACTCCTCCACATCGCCTCATACCTTTCCATCTCATCCTCCTCATTATAACACTTTGCCCTGCTATCATCAACATCCAAAATGTTAGATGGCATTCCCACCTCTGCCTCTCACCCACTCCCTTCACCCCTCCCATTAATTTCACTCCCCCCATTGTTGGAAGTTCCTACTTCACTACTACTGCTTGAGCTCAACTCCTGCATCCCTTCTTCACTTCCAATGCTCAATATCTCTTTTGAAGAATGTTTTGTGACTCACTACAAGTAGGATAGGGAGAATAGTTAGGATCTTAAACTAATTCCTTCACGTTCTACTTCACTCTTCAAACCTACTCCTAATTTCCCCTATCAAACTTAGTCTTAGGTCTGAAACAAGTTGGATTAGATATTGAAATTAGAATGAACTAGTGGTGGCTGAACTGAAACACTTGGAAGATTTTTTAAACAACACACATTCTTCCAATTGAACTGCTGAACTCAAAAACCACAAGCTCGAACGACAAGGTGCTCTTGTTTCACTTTGACAGCGCTCCACTATAAAATCAGCAAGCTAAATTCTGAATAACTCAAGTCCGGCTATTTATACTAAAGCCTTATTCCCCTCGACGATCACGATTGTTTGGATCTAACGGTCACGATCGTGTCTTTTCGAATTTGGCAGTTATTCCTAACCGCGCCATTTATTACAGCACGTCACATGAGGACACCTGTTAGTTTGGATTAATTTAACTTATTTTGTTTTATTTATATTGTTTTCTTTTCGATTCCATTTCAAAAACTTATCCAAATTCAATCTAACCATATTAATTACTTTTTGAATGAATTCACATTTGGGCATCATACTCTTCAATTCGGCCTTGGCTATACATTCCATGACCACGTGTCATGATACGTTCACTTCGGCTCCGATCGTATGTTACCTAGTCACGTGTCATATCTTCACTTTGACTCCGATCATACGTTACATGACCACGTGTGATATTATCTTTACTTCGGCTCCATCCATACGTTACATGACCATGTGTCATGACATCTTCACTTCAAATTCGGCCGTACATCTCAAAATCACGTGTCATGGTGCCTTCACTTCCGCTCCGGCCGTATGTTACCTATATCATATCTTCACTTTGGCTCCGACCGTATGTTACATGACTATGTGTCATGACATCTTCACTTCAACACTTGCCATACGTTACATGACCCCTATCATGTTTACATTTTGACTTTGGCCGTTCATCACTTGATCCCGCACCATGATATACTCGCCTCTACTTGAGCTATTCTTTTCAATTCCACTTCAAACTCTTGTATCATTCACAAGTGAATGACTTAGAGGGGGGGAATAGTGTAGTGATGGTAGTCATGGTAGTTTGAGGTACGACCTCAGATAGTATGAGCTATTCCCAACAATCTAGTCACCTTGATGTTGTTTAAAGAATGACGAGCTCAATCAAGTTCGAGCTCGTCCCCTTTGCTCTTGTTCTATAGTAACTCCATACATGCACAAATCTTTCAGGAGAGTTTCCTATGATCATTGACATATATGATTTTGATTGCTCATGAAGAACAACACGTAGATGCCCCCATGAAGGCTATACATACCCCCCAAGGGATCTTCTCCAAAGGTAATTGAAGCCGAACTTAAGCTTAGCTCTTGCTTCATACCTGGTAGCTCTGATTATTGCTAATTTAGGCATTGGAGTATCTACCCCGAAAACCAACCTCGGGGCTTTGCAGGTTAACAGAAGTGAAGATCCGAGCCTGGGAGCACTTTGGAGTTCTTTGCAACAACAGATATTTTTCAATCTGATATTTGGTGCTACATATTACCTAATCGATATTTGGGTTAACTGCCTAATCGGTCTTAGTTTAGACCGAAACCGACCGAATCCCTAGCATCATGTCTATACGGTTTTGCTTTTTTGGGTGTGGACTATAATAGTTAGGTATATTATTGACAATTTTCCACTACCACTTCTAAAAGACCATGTTCCCTTTCCTCCATCTAAATAAAATTAAAAAGTAATATAATTAAAATATTATATTATTTTATAAATTTATAACTATAATTATAAATTTAAAATTTTATATACTATTATAAATATAAGAAAATCCAAAAAATAAAGACATTTAGCATTAAAAACATTCTAACATTTAAGATATTCTTAGTTTCAAGACATCCATTACAATCATTTATAAATAAACTTTATTTACGAGACTCATTCACCAATGATTATGACCAGCATTAAAACGTCTTAGTTTTTATATTTTTATTAATATAATATTCATTAAAAAAATTGGTAGGGAAGGTCCAACTGCCACCCGTCCCCTACCTAACTTGTTGACGAATTTGTTTTAGCGAATGAAATCAAACGTGATCGGGCCCTTCATAAAGGCAAAATTATAAGTTAAGCCCTTGAACTAACTCCAGAATCGCTATTAAGTTCCTAGACTTTAATTGATGCATATAAAACCTTAAGTTCTGAGATCAAAGCAATTAAGCCTTTTTTTTTTTACGCCAACTTAACTGTCGTTTGGGACACACCTGCTTGGCTGGTTGGATGGCAAAATATTGCCATGTCATGCTTATATGATAAGGGATTTAACATAAGAGCGGGATTTTTGAGTTATTTGATCATTTAATTTTTGACTTAAATAAAGTTTAAATAAAATAAAGTCATATATTTGGGTAAAAATATTATTTAAATAAATTTTAAATTTAAATTTAATAAATATAATTTTAGATATTAAAAAAAATTTATGTGATTCATTGTGACTTAATTTTAAATTAGTTTATATTAATATAACTTTTAAAATTTGAAAGTTTAATATAAACAATAATATCATTTAAAATGATAAATTTATAATTATATGATCTATGATATTAAATAAATATAATAAGAAAAAATACATAT